TGGCAGACCCGAGCTCGCTGTGTTCTGGCAGTGAGTTTGCTGGTCTGGCTTAACTGTGGCCAGCCATTCAGTGCAGGTGACGTCTTACTGCAAGAAAAAAACTGACCGCCGGGGAGAGTAGGTTGATAGATGAAAGAAAATGTGGGGGTTGAGTAAAAAGAGGGTGAGATGGATAGAAAAGGAAAGGGAAGAAGAGACATGTGATTAATTCTGAAAATGATAGAAGGGAAACTGTAATCCAAACCAGAATGTTTTTGAATGGCATTTTCAAGAAGAAAGAAAAAGATTTAACACACAGCGTTAATACTTTCTCAGTGGCACAAATGTTGTGGTGGTGATGATGTTTGATCTTCAGATGGAAGGAAAAACCCCCAACATAACTAAATAATTTGTCTCCGGAGAGCACATGGAAGATTATTTGGAAAGCCAGCAACTCCCAAAGACAACCAGGTGGTGGCTTTGATTATGGGTGCGCATTACATCATTTTGAGGTGGAAACAAACACACATCCCCACAGACAGCACTCACACGCAGACAGGCCTTGTGACAAGCTATCTACACACTCTCGACACATTACCACATGCAGCAATACAAGCACCACACAGACACGCTCTTCAGAGATATGGGGCCCGTTTTGACAACCGCCAAGTTGACTTGGCATTGGTCGGATTGGACTGATCCAAGAAAAGCAAAGCGGACCCACGAGAGGGCTGGGGCTTTTGTGTTTGTGGAGTGTCACACTTCATCACGAGGGAAACCCATAACAGGCCCAGGAAGACCTTTGAAGCTATGGGAGGGGTGTGTGGGAATCGCCTCTGTGGCTACCTCTGATGTCAATTCCAATGTTCTGATTGCAGGCTATTTCCTGGATTAGGATTGTGTTTGTCGGCTGAGAGGAAAACCGTCCGAGGATTGTATATCAGAGAGCAGATGAGCTAATTACAGCATCCCACCACCAGACCATTTACAGATTAAAAAGTATTTTCACCAACATTATAATAGTCAGCTCAGTTACAAAGCCACAATTTACCATTATAATATATTCATATATAACAGAGAGGATGGGAAATACAAATGATCACTTTAAGGTTGTTTTATTATAAAATAGTTTTAGTTTTGGCTTGACCATACACACAGGTGGTTTAATTAATGTAACTGGGATAAAGGTTTAGTGGAGAGTCTCTGTAAACCATTAGACAAAAGATCCTGTATACAGTGTTTGGCAGCGTGGTCAGGTGATATCAGTGTGTGCTGTTTGCCTTGGCTGCTTCATAATTGGTGGAATGGTGGCAGACTGTAATGGACCACATCCTTTTGGCTGGAGATTCACAAGCCTCAACCACTGAAGCCATTATTTTGATTATGGGATAAGCAGAGCAAGACAATTTCAAATGAAGGAGAATTATTCAGGAAAATACATTTGTATTTAGGAATAGATGGCTGGTTTGCATTTATCTCAAGCCACCAATATGCACTGAGAGTGAAAGTGAGTATATCTGTAAACTCTTTTTTTTAATTTAAAATACTAATAATGCTAATAAATAAAAAAACAACAACAATAATATAATAAATTGTCTGCATCAAGACCACATTTTTAAACGTAGTTGGACTTTCTCTAAGTGAGCCACAAAATGCAATTTATTGCACACAAATTATTCTAAATAATATATATATATACATATTCCAGGATGTGTATTGTCTTATATTAGAGATATGACATATTGTAACACCCTTGATTAAATAGATGCAATTTACGAGACATAAAATCAAGTAGAAGTGAATCAGCACCACTTTTAAACGACTCTGAAAGGCATTCTTCTAAGCAAGGATATTTATTATTTTGACGACAAAATAATAGTTATCAGCAAAATGATCTCAGGGCTTTCACAAAAGTGCAGCAGCTTATGAGGCAAAACATTTTTCATCGATTCTAATGCTTTATGTGAGTCAGAAGCCAAATGGTAGCAGGGTAAAAAAAAACAGATTTTCATTGGGGGATTTAGAAAAGAAAAAAATTCAATTACTGTTTGCAGACTGGGGCTGTTGTTAAGGACGATGCCATGATCAAACACAATTTGGATCAAACCACGACTTTATTTCACATTCTCTCACATTTCCAATCAAGGAGCGATTAGCCTCAGACATTAATGAGCCTACTAATCCATTTGGGCCCCTCGTGATAACAGTTAATTGTCTGTAAAAATGTGTACAGATCCCCGTTTGGGTTGTTTACTAACTGATTTGGATGTGGTTAGGCCCTAAAGAGGTATCATTATGTTGATAGTTCTTTGGAAAATGAGCCCCTGATGGAGGAAAAACCAGAGTGGGGTAGAGTTAGGAATACACAGGACTGCTTTCAACCATTGCTCACTTGAGAGCAAATGTATCACTATCTTAAGATAACATTTGGCTGTCATCAGCCCTCATTGAACTGCATCTATAATTAGCAAGAGTTTTATTTGTTTCTGTTGTAAAATAAACTTCTGACATTTGGATAGACGGTGATTCACACTGTAGAAAAAGAAATCCAGAACCTGTACAACCAGATGTTCAAGGCAAGCGTCTCAATTTGCCACTGCTTTCTCCATCCCCTCTGCTTCGTGTGTGGCATAATTGAAACTTAAATTCAAATTACAGTTAATTCAAATCCAATTTGCACTCTGCATAAAGTCAGAATAGGAATTGCACATTGGCTTGATATGTTGCAAAATAATCTGTTAGATTTCAATGTTATTTTAAATGACATGGCGATGGGATTACTGTGACATTATAACTATGATATTGGGTTGCATCTAACCTGATATTTTGGACTATTAAAACACTTTTTAATCTTTAAATATAAATGCCTGTAATAATTGTAAACCTTATGTTAACTTTACATCAGCCATTGCCTTTGTGATAATGCTTCTATTGTTTATTCTTGGCATGAACAATATATAAACCTTTTCAAATGGACATTATTTTTGCAAATACAACACCCAAGGATTGTTTTCAATTATGTTAAACATTTATTGCAATCTTAAACAAGACGATTTTAGTTAACTTTGTTATCTGTTTTAGCCCCTACCCATAATCCACTTCCTCTATTCAGAATGATGAAGTGTACATGAAGCACTGTGTTACTGTGCATCACTTGCTTTGTCATGTTGTGGAACAGACCAGAATTGCGTATGTGTGTTTGTATTCTGCCCACTCAGCGTGCAACCTTGGCTGGCCTGTTGTGACACTCAATTTATCGCCTTGTGATTTGAGGCCTTAGTTTCTCATTACACACAAAGTTTTTGTGTCCTTGTGCGACAAAAATTTGTTTGTGTGTCCGTGTAAATCACCTGTCATATGCACATGCTCCTTTAACGAAAGGCCAAGGGTGTCATTTGATTCCTGCTGCCTGGCTTTCATATTTATGCGTCTCATATTCACGTCCATTGGCTGTGTCTCAGTTGGGCTATCCATCAACACTTTTTATCCCCATCGCACCAACAATACGGACATAAAATGCTCTTTTACGTCAGCAAAATGCTGCCACAAATAAAACCGGAAAACAACACACCTCTTTATTTGTCCGGGTAATAAACTACATAAATTAAAACTGATAAGTGACAACATTTGCATGAGTCATATCCTATGAGCCTCGGCTTTAATGGAAATGACCAGAGGCAGTGAATATGTATTGCCACAAAATTGGAAAATAGGTGATATATTAATGAGTTTACAAACTGAGGGACAACCAGACCCAAGGGGACGTGTCCTGCTCTCCCCAAGAGAAGGCCATTTTTCAAACCAACATGTCAAAGAATGATTTGGAAAACTATATCATTCATCTTGTCAAATAAAATGTCCTACACTTGAGATTATTAAGTGTACACATGTATTTGTAGTTATAATGGGTTACCTGCCCAGGGACTGAGGATGAATATTATATGTCCAGTAAGGTGTTTATATTTATTCATCAAGTAATAAAAGAATAATGGTCCATGTTAAATAAACTAAAATGAATACACTGCAAATAAAGAAATACAGAAACAATCAAACAAAGAAACAAGGGCCGATGGATTTTTTTTAAATTTAAATTATAGATTCAAAAGGATGAATCATATCACATCAGACGCCTGTTCTCAGTCTGTACCCGCTGTAGCACCACACACAAGATGCTCAATTGTAGGATGTAGATTTTGCCATTTATTCAGGATGAATAAAATAAAAAACAAACAAAAACAAAAAAGGGAACCCGGTTAAAAGCAATGGGATGAAGAGACGTCTCTCTCAATTTTGTTCACTCAAACAGAATCTGTTGCCTTTAGCCTGCTTAGGGGTAGAAGGTGAGGGAAGCAGACAAAAGCACTGCAATTATTCAGCTCTGGCACAACAACAGAGAGCAAAAAGAGCATCAAAGGCTTGACTCAGAGCAAAATAGGGCTCCCTCAGAGGAAAAGCGCAACCTGTGTGTGAATACCAGTGCATGGACTTTTGGTCCTCTCTTGAGACACACGTGGGAAAGGATGTCAGTTTTAGAGTTACTGTGAATATGCACTTTGATTATGTTTCTAAAGTTATATGTGTAGTTTGCCGGATCTGAAAAAGTTAAGTTAAACCTGCCCTTTTTTGTTGTTGTTGTTAGCTGATGTGTTATATGTTGTATAAAATAATGATGTATTTATTATTATGTTTATTGGTATCAATTTGATATATTATTACTCATTTTAGTCATAGTTTTATTTTTTTTGAATTGCTGGTTTATGTCCTTAATCATAGCATAGCCATAGTAATGTGAACATAATTGACATTTTAATAAAAAATAAACAATATTATACTTACTTTTCTTTTCTTTTTAACAACCTGACAATACTGTACTTAATTATGGCCCTGTCTGTTAAACAACAAATAGATCTAAATGTCATAGAAAGAGAGAAAATGCCAAGGACCGATTTTCTATCAGGCATATTTGAGGGCAACTTGCTATATACAAGGGTCCTTTAGCAACCCGGAAGTCTAGCTTTCACATGTGTTGTGTACATGCACCGGTTGCTAAGCACAGTTATCACGTTGTGTACTATAACAGCCAATATTTTTGATGTCAGCAGTCTTTTGAGCAAAAAATAAGAAGATGAAAGTGGTCGCGTTAATAAGGTAACAACGTTTTTTCTCCGGAATTCTCTCAAAATTATGTTTTTGCTAGCATGGTAGGAGCTAAATCTCAGATGGATTGCTGTCAACAAACGCTGGATCTTTATTCCTATCAGGTGTTAGGGGTTGTATTTCGCCTCTGACTTTGTTTAAAGTCAGGATATATCATGCTCTTGTAGAAATTAAAACTGTTATCGATTATATGTTTAAAAATGAGTACAAGAGCATCACACATCACAGTTAGTGTATGGTAAATACTTTTTAGAATGGAGCATCCTGAGTTAGTAAGTGAAGCCTCAAACAGCTTCTTCATCACTGAATATTCTTGCTGTGCATCACATTTCCAGATCACCACATATAATATATTGGTCTTCATCGTAATGCAGAGGTGGGAAGTAGTGGAGTACAAACACTTCGTACTGTACTTAAGTACATTTTTCTGGTATCAGTACTTTACTCCACTACTTATTTTTCTGACGACTTTTTACTTTTACTTCTTACATTTTTAACACAAATACCTGTACTTCTTACATTTTCAAAACAGGTTCGTTACTTTAGTTGTAATCTGTGTTAAGTGGCATGATCATTATTATTTTAACACGATTTCCTGGTCTTCTCTAAAGAAGGGACCAATGAAAACGTTGACATTTTGCCGTTGTTCAGCATCAAAACATTCATTAGCTAACAATGACATGATTGTTCTATTAATATAAAGTGAGGTCACTTACTCTTTAAAACAGTTGGTAGTTACATTTCGAAGCCCATACTTCTTTACTTTTACTCGAGTAAAGACGTTAAGTCAGTACTTCTACTTTTACCAGAGTATTTTTAAACACAAGTGTCTGTACTTCTTCTTGAGTAAAGGATGTGTGTACTTCTGTCGTAATGATTCCAATACAGCTTTTCCTCTGTGTCTGTTTCTCCTGCTGTGTTGCAGTGGGGGCAAAGACAGCTGCTACAACATGATGCAGTGTGTTGCTGCTGGGCACCGGATCGTAGCTCTTGCCAACCTCCGTCCTGCTAACACAGGTGAGGAGGATGCGCTGCTGGGGTTTGTGTGATCTACAGGGGGCAGCTGGGCTATATGGGCCAACCATCTGCATTTCTGTGACCCAAGAAACTGCAAAAGTACTGCAGCACTTCATGTAAATCCTACTGTTAATCCCACAGGAATTGTTGCAGTGTGCTGCAGATGGGAGATTCAGCATTCCAGAGTTAAAACAAGACATATGAGCGACATCTAAGAAGTATAACTTATAAAATAATTCCTTATAAATACATTTCAAAGTGCTTGTACACAGACACTCACCCTTTTTGAAGTGCCATACATGACAGTAGTGCATTATCTTATGCTTGCTCTGTTTATTAGAGCATTAGCTGCAGTTACAGTTAAAGTATTTCCATAATGTTTTGTTTTCCACCTAGAGACCACAGACCGATGGCCTTATAGCAAAGGCATTGGAATGTGCTATGTAAGGGATGGAAACAAAATACAATTAGGTATTAAAACAAATATTGACCGATAAGCAATTATTTGTTAGATTATATTTTTTTAAGCAAACATGGCTTCTATTTGATGATGATTTCAAATAATAAACAGAAACATTTTCAGATTTTGCCGGTGTTACATTTGAGTAAATTGCATTTCTTGTTTCTTTTGATCACTTTGGCAAATATGATAAAGCTTTTTCTTACCTATAACTGCATAGTATCTTAATTAATCTATCTAAAGGCGTGTTAAAAATGGCCACTATATTTCAGTTTCAGCATCCAAAAACTGATGCCTGGTTGCCAGCCTTAAACTACTTTTAAAAGTTATTGTTAAGCCCTGTTATTCAAATGTTTTCCTTTATGCCACAGATGAGTTGGACAGCTACATGTACCAGACAGTGGGCCACCAGGCCATAGATCTGTACTCTGAAGCCATGGACCTGCCCCTGTACAGACGGACCATCCAGGGCTCGAGCCTGGACATCAGCAGAAACTACAGCGTGACTGAGGGGGATGAGGTGGAGGACCTATATGAGCTGCTCAAGCTTGTGAAGGTAGGCCTTTCTATCCTTAATATTAAAGAGAAATATAAGTGGATACAGCCTGTCAATCAAACCAGGATCTTTAGCCAAAGTCTTAATACTTGAATAGCCTACCACTTGTTATTTCCCATGAACACAGAAACAACCTATGGAAGCTTTTGCTAAGAAATTTGAGTTTTAATTAAATAAAAGGGTATATTTCTAACAAAAAAAATCATATCAAATAGAAAAATGGAATAAAAAGAGGTGTGTCCTACTTGTTTGTTGTACTTAAATGCTGCATTGATTTGGAATCATTTAGTAACACGACATTAAAGCTGTTGGAAATAAATTAGACTTTACAATAAAAAGCAGAATTTTTACGACAATATTCATATATAATGGAAACAGCACTAAAATGTTTTATAAATAGGTGTCTTCCACTTGTCCAGTTTAGTTATACTGCTGTATTAATTAAGAATTATTAGGGCACATTACATGGAGGCTATTAAAAAAAATTCCAAGAGTTTTAATTAAAAGAATTCAGATTTACTTTGTAAAAAAAAAAGAAAAACCTAAATAAATCAAATAAACATCTTCATTTAAATGTTAGGATGATTCATTAAATGTAGTTTTATTTTCACACATGGTATTAGAGGTGTCACACATACAATAAAAAAAAAAAGAGTGTATCGTTAAAAAAGTATTTTAACGCACCATAATGATGTGAACTCACCATGGCAATGCTCCATTGAACATATACAATAGTCATCGTTTTGACTCTCTGCCACCACTGACATATGCTTGACTGCTTTTTAGTGAACAAGCTCTCAGAGCACTACTAAACTTTTCATCTCGGCTAAGGTTCATGACATATGTCACACTGTTGAGATGTTTTACAAGTCATTCTCTGTGGATTCAGAGTCACTTTGTAGCCCATCAGCACTGTCTCAAAGAGATGCTGCTTGTCTAGTTCCATCTGGCCTGCTGCACCCTAACGGTCCTTAGCACCTATAGTAAAGTGCAAGCAAGCTGCTCAGTAGATTAAAAAGCTATGTTAGTGCTTTTAGCCTGTCTTCTTTAGTATGTCTTGATTCCACTTTCATAGTGGAGTAAGTTTTTTCTTTTCATCTTACTCTGGGAAAAAAAGCGTGCCTGTTGTATCAGTTAATCAAAGTTTTATGTGTGAAGTTGGAGAGAGGTGCCCTTCAACAACTGGCTTCACAGGAAAAAATCCATTCTTTTTTTTATCTCACTTGACAGAAGATCAGATGCAAAAAATTAATCACCAAATTAATATTTCATCAAATACCACTTTTGCCAGGACGTTGAGAAAATATTCATTTGATGCCAAATTATGTATGAGACCTTGGTGGTCGGATGTGGTGCGGGGTGCGTCTGACTGACAGGTTGGAGGCAACTGCGTGTGTGTTTGACACACCGCTGGCACTGCCTGCTACCTGACCGCCTGCAGCCATGAGGAAGCTACCTGGACACACACTTCAACAGCTCTCCCTGCTGTCAGCGCAAACAGGCTGTGGGATTGATCCTGTGTAACACGTTCCCCCCCCCCCCCCCCCCCCTCTTTTAGTAGCTTGCAGCATCACGATTCAGAAGAAAGAGCTTCTTATGGGATGGTGGATAGGAGTTTGTTGTTGAGATGGGAGTTGGCTTGACATGGTGTAAATTAGTGAGGGGGGTCGGGGGGTGCTTGGTTCCTACTGTAGGTGGAGACATGTTCATCCGGAGCTGAGGGCTGCTCCAGGCCCCGGCATGTCCGCACAGTGCCTGGGTGGCGAGGGCCAGTCAGCCTGCCTCAGGGCATTTCGCGCCCTCTGCCTGACTTTCTTTGTCGTCTTCTGTTTAAATCGCAGGCTTTACACATGCGGCTACACGAGAAAGCTCTTGTTTGTGTGGTTCCTTGTGACGTTACAATTTCAGTTTTTTATTTCACAGTCAAAAAGTGGACTTCTCTCTAGTAAGTGATGCAACACACCAGCTCTGCCTGTGGTCAGGGCTCTAATTGCAAAGGGCTGCTAATTTCCCATTTCCAGGGCTTCTCTGGTCTGACCTCAGCAGTCAGAGGAGCCATAGATCAGGGCAGTTGGACTCCCAGGGGGGCCTCGCGGGCTAGCAGACCTCCAGCCAACTCGCAGTTTACCCCTCTCACCATCATCAACAGACCTGTACCATAAACAACAGGCTTCCTCTCGTTCTCACTGAGTGATGTCAACCATACGATTACAAACGTTCTTATCTCAAATTTCAAGAAACCTCCCTGAAGTTTTTCTTTATAATTCTTACTAATCTTTAGGTTAAGTACCGTTGAGAAAACTCTTAAACAATTCTGTCAGAGCATCTGAAAAATCCTCTTAAAAAGTTGAGGATTATGGTCAAATTCAGTTAAAAAAATATACCCGTTTCACTATAGTAATAATTGTTTTCACTATAAAGGTTGTGGTGTTGTTGATTAGTGAGGAAAATGATAGCTGGGGGAGAAAGAGAGAAAAACACTTCTTTTGATAATGAGCTGTTAAATCACCCGTACTGGAAAGAACAGTTTTTATTTTTGAAAAAAATGTGCTCTGTTTGGAAAGTGTGATATTTTGAAAGATTCTTTCTAGCAGTATGAATTCATTAGAAGTTACAAGATTATATTTGGCAAATGACACTTGAGCATAGATGAAAGCATTTTTTTTTTCTCAGATCCGGAGTTGATGAGTTTTAAGTGGATATTCTTCCCTCCTCCTCCTTTGCAGTGCTGGCAACAGACCCGTAGCATGAGCCAACAGTGCCATCTATGGATCATTCCCAGGAGCTGACAAACCTGAGACACTCAACACTTTGGTCTCTCGCAGAATGTTTGGAGCCTTTCAAAGGACTCAAAGGAAGCGATCATATTCTTCAAAACCATTGTTGATGGAGGAAAAAAAAAGTCCAATTATAATAGAAAAAAAGAGCCGACCATCCCCTGGCAGTAGTGATAATGGCAGAATGACAATGTGGCCCTATCCTTGGCCCCTTTGCTCTCATCGCTGGCTGTGTATGGCAGTGTGTCTTTGAAGTGTGTAACCTGATAGACATGCAAGCCACAGCGTACCCCATCCCATCCTGCTAGGTGCTGATCTTTGAACCCGCTCTTTGAGGGGGAGAAATAACAGTTTTGTCAGCGGCAGGGGGGATTTTTCATTTTTGCACATCTATGGCTTATTTTTATAGAGTAGTTTATGTCCTTGTGTCCTTTGCTACGCTTCAAAGGGAAGGTAGGATATGAATATTATGTGAAACGATAACTGTGTAAGTATAACATTTGTAGTTGATTTAAATACTCCTTTTTTCAACTCAAAGTGTCCTTGTTTGTGTGGATTTAGAAATTGGATTCCGTCGGTTGTGTGTCCATACTTCATGTGTGTGCTCGGGCTGCTCTCCTCTGCTGTGATCTGCTCTGATGTGTGATACAGATCAGCAGTGTCAGTCACCCCTGGCTGTAACGCCAGTCCCCCCGAAGGCCTGCAAAACCCCTCATATTAGTCATATCACATCCCTCAAGTCCTTTATCCTTCCCTCTGTGCTCTGTGACCTGACACAGTGGCTCTTTATGCCCCGTGACCCTGCATGTGTGTGTGCGTCCACACGTGCACGCTCGTATGCTCAAGGTCAGGTCAAATCGGGCCTCTGTTACATGATAACAGGTCTATCTCTGTTCTCCTTACACACCTCTGCCTCTCTTTTTTGAGCCACTATGCCTTCTTTCAACACGGATGAAATAAGTGCTCTATTGCTCTGTGCCAACTGCAACCTACTAGATGTTGCACACATGTAGAAATTGTAAAAGCAGCTTTGAATTTATTATGTGTTTGCAATATATATTTTAAAGATTGGTTTTCAGCATATAGAACATCTTACACACAGGCGTTTTTACTTGAAAGCAGCACAGCCTGTAGGACATGGATGTGAGTGAGATTTAGGAAGATGTTACTACAGTTTTAATCACATGATGTACTAATAGATAGTATATAAAAAGATAGTGACTCTATTTCAGCAACTCTGCAACCTTTGAGCTGATGAATGAAGACAAAGACATTTAAGCTCATTAGAGTGATGAGGAACAATAGATGATATCTACGCACACGTACTTTTCCGCCAGCTCTAATTAGCACCACTATGACATCTCTGTCGTACTGAGACCCAGCTTTGAGAACGACGGAAATGTTACTTTCAAATCGAATTTATTTTCCTGTAATGGGTGCGACTTTTCAGAGACACTGCTTCTTTTATTTTTTGGATAACTGATATTGCAGGTCAGTTAACACCTTCCCATCCTTTTTTCAAAAAAATCGAACAAGATTTGTTTTTCCTGCACTGGGACCTTTGGCCTTTGTAGATGAAACGCTCCCTTTCGTTGGTGTGTTAAAACACCTTGTTCTTAGTGAGATAATCCTTCTCTTAAACTCACACACACTCTTCCCCCCATTCCCTGATTCTCCTGACCTTTATTACATACACACGCACACACTCCCCCCATCCTCAGCCTCTGCTGCTGCTCCATTATCGACATCAGCAGACAAGAGTGGGCCCCTCTGAGATCGCAGAGGCAGTTTGTCCACAAGTCCAAACACTCTTTTTATTCTTCCCTCTCCCTCGCTCCGTCTTTCTTCCTTCTTCTGGAATCTTTGTCTCCATTGTATTGTCGTCGCACTTTCATCCGGACCCTTCAGAAGCCTGGCACTGCGTTGTTGCGAGTGCCCTGATGGAGGTGTATCCTGCTGCGAGGAAACGAGGGAGAGGGATTGAGGGAGAGGAAACAGAAAGGAGCAGAGAGGAGAGGAGGAGGAGGGCAGCCAGTTGAACCAGGAGCTCTGTGGTATTGATCAGGGACCTGAGGTGTTGTGAGACAAGTTGTTGAGGAGGGGTGCAAACTATGGAGGAAAGGGGGGGGGGGGGGGCGGTCAAAATCAAACAAGAAGCCCTTCTCTGATTACCGGCATGGTGCAGCATAAGACATACATTGGGGGCTCAACAGGAAAATGGAT